CTGGGGGGGGGGGGATGGGTTAGCCTGGTGATGGGTATTAAAGAGGGCACGTTCTGCGTGGAGCACTGGGTGTTATGCAGAAACAATGCATCACGGAACACTACATCAAAAACCAATGATGTAATGTATGGTGATTAACATAACAATAAAAATTTAAAGGAAAAAAATCTTAGCAGCTGAGATACTGGGACAAAAACTATAATATTTTTAAGTGTTTTCATACATTACAAGAACTTGCTGTTCATATAGATTAAGCCAACTTATTACTAATTATCAATTGTATTTAATTCTTGGCTAAGGACTAAGTACGTTTACTATACTTTATACTGATGTTTCTGTCCATGGCCTCTCACCTCTGTGAGACCACTCGCTCCTTGAAAACAAGGACGGTGAGTCCTAATTTTCTTTATTCCCTGGGCCCCACATGACACACACCCTTGAGAACCAATGAGGACGCTCACCTGAGGATGAGAACACACGCAGCAACCAGAGAGTAGGCCAGAAGGGTGCCAATGGACATCATGTCCACAAGTGCCTTCAGGTCAAAGAGAAATGCCATCACAGCTATTGGGAAAAGAACAGAATGGTAAAAAAAAAAAAAAAAAAAAAAAAGACCTATGACAAAACTCCATACAGTTGATAACTTCCAAGTCAGGGACAACCGGCATTTTTATGGTTCCAGTATCCATGATAAATCAAACAAACTATAGGAAATATATTTCTCACAGCTAAAAAGATGATCCTTGGGTCATATAAACTGCTAGTAAAACTTCAAAAACCCTCAGCCATCTATCAAGTATAAAACACATTCTACTTTGGTTATTTAAAAAATATTGGCCTGACAAAGTGAAAACATTCTATGACAGAATACTCTCCCTTGATGTTTCAAAAGAAAAACATGGCTCAGAAATACTGGCTAACTCTTTTTAAAACAACCATTAAAAAATTCAAATGGAAGATCTTTCATTACAGATGTTATATAATCATTTCAACTTCCATCCGTATTTTGAATTATGCCACATACAAATCAAAGTAATTTCCAGTTGAATTATGTTTCCCATAGAGGCAAAATTCTATGTTGGGTAAAATTCCACACTCCGAGAAGACTGACTAGATTTGAGAGATGAATCGATGTCTCACACTCAAATCTCAGTAATGTTCTGACGCAAAATATACTTTTCCATTTGAAGAGTGAACTTGCACCGAGCAATTTTTTCTCCATTGAAACATCAAATAGTGATGACTTGACTTGCCCACATAGTTGTCCCCTATCATCCTCAGTAGAAACACCACATTCCATTCACATGCTGTTCCAGACATCTCTTAGCAAGCTTTATATCTCTGTGACCTCAATTTATCTTTGATCCAATAATCCTCTGAGACAGAGGAAATGATATAGGTTTAACCAAATGCAGTGGCCAGAATTTGACTGGTTTTGACCCTGAGACCAGCAATTTCACATGGTCTGACCTGATAAGATTATGCTCCTCATTTTATAGACAGGCTAACTTAGCATAGTGACAACTATGAGGGGGCAGTAGAGTTCCAGGTAAAGTCTAGCTGTACCCTACTTCCCCATGCTCCTTCTACAGTATCACATGGTTTCTTTAAATACATCTCATGCCTTACTTTGAAAACCTTCTGTTGCTAATATAGTTATACATTAGATTAAAATTACAATACATTTTGTAAGAACCACAAGTAGCAAAATAAGTAGCCAAGACAGAAGAAAATGATTAATTGTCCAGACAAGCTCTCTGATCTAAGCTAAAAACAAGCAAAGTAAGGCGAGGGAGTACAAATAACAAAAATATAATATTTCAGAATGTTAAAAAAAAAGCCTTCTGCTACAATTATCTTCTGTTAGTTATTAATGTCAATATATTAGGCTGCCAAATTAAATTCTTCCTGAAGAAAGAAGGATACATTTTTTAAAGCTCTGAATACAAAATAGAGTATTACTGGGCAAGATTTCACTGGGGAAAAAAGTAAACGTTTTTATGGAATAAATAAAGTATGTGATCCTTCGTCAGGATTTATAAACTTTTTAATAGCATAATCCACTGTTTAATAATAAAATGGGCTTTAGATCATCTAGTGCAACCTTCATTTCATGGGGGCAGAAATCTAAGCAGTAAGAAAATAAGGGACTTGACCTTCTAATGTATGTCTAATAAAGTGCCAGATTTATTAGAAAACATTGACAAAGTGAAGGTGCTGAGGCAAATACTTTCCGACTCTGAAAAAATACCATTTCATACATAATTAAGCATTCTCACTCGTAATTTCCCCTAAATTGAGTCTCAACCAAGTTATCAGTTTTGGATTGAATTTCTACTACCAAAATAGCTTTAAAAAGCTTGATGAAGTCTCTCTCTTGCTTTCTCTAACAGGACCTTTAAGGCCATTCTCTCAGTCTGTAGAATCTCTTTGAAAATTTCTGCATGGAATAAGAATCTGGCCAATGGCATTTTACAAAGACGTTCTGACATCCCCAAAGGTGGGCATCTGGGAGTTTTTTGTTTGTTTGTTTGTTTGTTTTAACATGAGTTAAGTATCAAAACTGTTGAAAGCAAAAATAGATTCCTAATGGGGTCTAACGGGAAATAGTTGTTAGTAAGTCTTAGAGAACAGCGGTGGTCCCAGATGTGCATCTAGATAACCCCACACCAAGGAGAGTGATTACTACAGTCAAGTATCAGTTACCCTGACATTTCTTATGCTTAATTAAAAATGAGTAAAAATACAGTGAAGAACCATTACAACCCTCTGCACATTTGTTAGAAACCCAAAAGGTTAAAATAACAAAATAGTAACAAAAGTCCCCACGGGTCAGTTAAGAATGAATTTCAGTAGACCACCACCACCACCACAATTACCAGATCCCAATGCTCATAACCTCATTTATCAGTGATTCTTTTTCTTAACTTCCATGCACAGCAAGCAGACCCTCTTTATAAGTCCATGCATGCGCATAAAATGTTCAAGGCCAATGTTGAAGACTCCTGTGTTTGTAAAGCTTACCAGAAATGACCCCTGCCGTCAACGTGGCAGCAACTGGTGACTGCCTCTTACTCACTCTGCCAAGAAATCTAAACAGTAAACCGTCCCGGGCCATGGCAAATAGAATTCGGGGTAAAGGAAACATAGAGCCCAGAAGACTAGAACAGAAAAATTCATAATCCACACGTGAGTTATTGCAAGCATTATTCTAGACAGGTATACACAGGTAAAGACCGGACACACTAAAATGCAGAACCTATGCCAAAATAATTCAGAATAGGAAAATATTCACAAACAAGTTATTGACCTTTACGTAAATAAAGACAGAAAACTGCCTAACTTTACATTACTCTTCAGAATCCTTGATGGAGAAAAGATCCCCCTTTTCTTAAAAAAAGTCAACTCTCACCTGCCACTGCACCCGATGATAAAGTAGCAATTATTGGTGTCTTCGTTTTGGAATTGATTTGAGCTAGACATTTGAAAAGCAACCCATCCTCCGCCATAGCATAGATTACACGAGGCATTGGGAAAATGGATCCAAGAAGACTGAATAAAAAGCAAACACATGCAGTATGGCAAACACATTCATGCAAGATTACATCTCAGAACAGAAATTAAGTATTTGGATAAAACTCAGCGTCACAGCTCTGATTACAAAGTCTTGTTATTTTTAAAACGTGTTATGATTGGGCATTTAAAAATATTTGCCAATATTTACCATTGTGCTACTTATTATTCTCTTGCGGACATTTTGCCCAGCACACTTACCAGACTAAGCAATACTGCGAGCAATTTATGCATGCCCACAAATTATTACTGAATTAAAACTAAGTAATTAAGACTTAAGAAAACCAAACCCAATCGTCTCATTGAGGCATTTTTAGTGGCCATAACTCAGAAATTAAAATTCCTAAACTGATATGAAATTAAAGAAGGGATTAGGTTATTTAATTGCATGGTATCGTCACTTCATTTATTGGATAATTACAAACTTCTTATATTTATTTTATCATTATTTTTCCTCATATAGCCTGATATTTCATCAAATCAGTAATAATACCCAGCAGCATAAGATAATCAGGAGAGAAAGGGTAAAAAAAAAAACAAAAAAACACAACTCACTGTAAATTTAGTACATAGAAGTAGCCACGATTAAAAGTCAGGAACAGTGAATTTAAGAAAACGCTCTTTGCTTTAGATGTTTCGAATTTCTTGTGTGTTTACTGGCTGCACCATTCCATACATGACTTAGTTATAAAAAATAACCATTAAGAGAAAATACGTAAAATATTTTATTTTAAAAATTCATTTTCTTTCTCTTTTGATAAAGCTGGGTTGAGCTTGGCCCTGGATAAATCTTTGCCCTTCTATCTTCTTAAGACCATGATGGCATGATGTCTTCATAGTTCAGATCCTTGAAAGTACTTGAAATTATTCAGAATAAACCTCAAACCTCAGAATAGCAGATGGCTGAGAAACCGATGGGGGTAAATTTCTAATTGCTGCTAAATATTATCTTGAATGGAAAATAAACAAGACTTTGAGAAAGAATAAAAGCTAGGCTGATGAATTATATAAAAAGACTGCTTTTTCCAACTTTAGACTTTCAAAAAATTATTTTCCCTTTAAAAAATTAGCAGTTAGGCAAAGAGATTAATTTTCTCTTTGTAAGAATGTCCTACGGGATACCATGATATAAACTAGAATGAAATTATCTTATGGTCACATGTTAATTTGAAATGTGAGTAGCTCAGGGAACCTGAGAAATGAATTCTCAAGTATTAAAACAAGTCGCTACTGCAAATCTGAGTACTTGAGATGCAACTACTCTTTGCTTTCCACATAGATATCATATGAACTTCCACTATTAATTTCAGAATAGTAATTTCTATTTCTAGACCAAATTCACTCTGATGAGTACCAAGAGAAAAAGTCTCAGTATTTCACAATAAAAAGACATTATACTTAACAATGTCACAGCATATAGCCCGCAGTCACATAGACACGATATTATTTTAAAAGGCAGAAAATGTCAAGTCTGCATCTAAGGTCTTGGTTGTCTGTAGCACTATAAGTAATTCCACAGCCAGCCCAGAAACAAGCTAGTATAAGCATCCTACCGTTTTATAATACATGTATATATGAATATGCGTGACATACATGTATGTGTATGTGTTCGTGTGTATTGATGCCTTATACATTTCTACTGAAGCTTGGACCGTCATTATCTTGAAAAACTGACTTTTTTTTTTTTTAAAGATTTTATTCCTTTATTTGAGAGAGAGAATGAGAGAGAAAGCACATGAGAGGGGGGAGGGTCAGAGGGAGAAGCAGACTCCCCGCCGAGCAGGGAGCCCGATGCGGGACTCGATCCAGAGACTCCAGGATCATGACCTGAGCCGAAGGCAGTCGCTTAACCAACTGAGCCACCCAGGCACCCGAAAAACTGACTTTTAACTGATGGGTCAAAAAATTTTTATCACTTAAGATTTGTATGTGGCAATTCTGGTCAAACTATTCAGAGAAGACATAGTTGCATAATATATTCCTTATATAAAGATTACTTTTAAAACCTATAAAAGCAATTCTTTAAACACAGACTATTTGGCGGTATTGCCAACAGCCCCAGCATCAAAGGCAATGTGATCGATGTACCTTGTTGACAAAGCACAGAGAGAACCCGCCGCAACAACATATTTGGCGGGACCCCATCCAACATATTCAAATGCTACCGGAAGCGGGCTTTTCTCATCCAGGAGGTAGTATGGCATCATAAGTGTTAAAGCTGCAGAGACCCCAAAGTAGGCCATAAAGCAAACAAGCAAAGAAGTCACGATTCCAATAGGAATAGCTTTCTGAGGATTCCGGACTTCTTCACCTAAGGAGATATAAACAAAAGATTTGCATCCTTAATGAAACATTAATAGATACAACATGGATTCTCCTTCTCCTTCATAGTCATTTCACTCTGCTTTTGTGCCTTCTGTTTTCTTAGCTTGTTCCATGTATTCTACATGAAATTTTCTCTCTTCTTGAGAGTACTATGCTATTATACAAAATTCCAATTTCTAGAGGCAAAAAGAGAAAGCAAGAAATCATGCAGGTCGGTTTCCCACTTCTAGAAAGAAAAGACATGATATACCAGTGCTATTAAATATTTCAGGATAGTATGGCAGTCTTAATCTATTTGGAAAATGATTCATCCACAGAAATTAATGACTATCATAGCATTCTGTGGGCCCTTAAATAGGAATGCTTCCATAAATATGAAAATAAGACGTTTTCTACCCAATGCATGAATTTATATTAAACTCTGGCTTCAACACAAAAATAGTCCTTGAATCTTTCTAATAAGATTTGGCATTTGAAGTGTCCCAAAATGGCCAATTACAAGGCCATACAGTAACATGAACCCAGAAGAAGCATTTAGAGAATGATTCTGGTATGATTACTTTGTTGTACAGGATAAAGAGAAAAGAAATGCCACAATCTATTTTGTCCTACTAAAGAAGAGACAATTTACAAGCGTGATCATCATTTGTTACTCATTGTGATAGTACTGGAGATTACTTCCAGACTAAAGGTTAAGGACAGTAATTATGACTAACATTTATAAAATACTTGACAGCTTGCAAAGAATCTTTTATGTGTATCGTATCTTAAGTAACCTTCATACTGTGAGCATGAGGGGTAGGTCCTGGTTCTCCCCACTTTACCAATTAATGGAAACCAAGGCTCAGAGAGTTTCACGAAGTTTCTTTTTATCATATACAGAAGGTGTCACAGCTGGGGCTGGAACCAGCCCATATTATCCCAAATCCCACTCTTTCTTTGACCCTCTACTGCCACCCGTGGGTACTCCTATAGAAGAAGGAACACCCTTCCTTCCACATAGACCCAAGATTCTGCCCTTACCAGTTGTTGCAATGCAGTCAAATCCCACAAAGGCATAAAAGCAGGTGGCAGCCCCAGCCAAAGTTCCTGCAAAGCCATAAGGCATAAAGCCACCAGCCCCATAGATACTCGTTCCATTTTCAGAAGGCAGATCTCTAAGGAAGAGAGCAAGCACAATGCAAAGTCATTTTCATAGAAAACCATTTCTTGGAAGGCTATTGTGTTCACCAGCTCTTTGAAGCTAACATATATAAAATTAAATGTAAATCCTGATTTTTCTCACCCTGTCCTAGGGAATGTAGTGGTGTTCCCAACAATGGCACCCTCTGGGTTGTCAACATCAACTAGAGGTCGATCAATAATAGCATAAGCACAAGGCCCATTTTCACTCTGGCTAGAACTCACAGCCAGGCAGGATTGTGAGAGCAGAGACACCATATATGGGCCCTGCTCTGAAATAAAGACATAAAACCTCTTCTCATGGACAGTTGGGCAGGCTGCACATTTAAAAATTTTACAAATAAGACATTTGAAAAGATGAAATTGAATTCCCTAGGCTTGGTTAATAATATTGAAGTTGGATATTTTATTACATGTTAAAAATTGTATAAAACCAGAAGTTCCTAATTCTTTGCTTCAAAAGAATGGCTTCAAACAACATATGTAAAGAAGAACATGTAGTTATGCTTCATGTAAAAGACATTTCTGTAACCTTACTTTATTTGCCTATCAGAATATTAATATAAATCTTATGATGAAACCTTTTATATATAATTATTACTAATTTAATTTTTGAGACTACCAGGTTAAAAGCAAAATGCAGGGACAATTCTGCTTATGCAATCAATAACGTTCTCCAAAAATCAAGGCCTGAAAATTACTAAAAGGCTGAAAGAATGCAATGAAACCAAAGGGTCCTCCCAAAGGAAGAACTAAGGGATGCATGACTCAAAGAGATCCATTGTTTTACAAAGGTGGCAAAGCTTTGGTGGGGGGGAAGAGGCATCCTTCCAATGGTTAGGATCTCACTTTGCTCTTCTCCTATACCTCCTACACAGCTTGAAGCCAAGAACAAGCCACTGCTTGGCTTCAAATAGCTGCTCAACAGTGAGCACACTTACGTATTTATATTTGGGGGGAGACTGGAAGAAGAGTCTTGGAATAGACCAGACCCTCAGAAATGTCTCCACAGCAAAAAAAAAAAAAAAAAATTGAGAACCACTGTTATAGAGGAAAATGTAAGACAAGAGCGGGCAAATTAAAAACAAAGACAAAAACACATTTAAATAAGAAGGGAAAAGCCCAAATATTATACCTGGCACTCGCTGATATATTTTTGAGAAACTCTTCACTAATCTTCCAGTTTGCCACATTTCCTTTCACAAACCCAGCAACCATAACAAAGAGAAGGACCAGGATATTAACAGCTGTGAAGATTTTATTCACCCAAGCAGATTCTTTTACTCCAAAAGATAAAAGACCTATGGAAAAAAGAATGGGTATTGTAATTTTTTTACCCAACTTTTAGTAAAAGCAATGGCATTTTGGGGCAGTTACAGGCTTTAGGATATTATTTTACCAGCATCCATGCATTGAACTTACATTTATCCCTTTCTCTTGCAAGTTCTGACTCACCTGTCACAAGATCTCCTGAATACAACCAACTTGGTTGCCGAAGGCAGATGGTGCTCATAACCTGGAGACACCACACTCCAAGAGATCAATAAATCTAGTAACTTTGGCTCTTATTATCAATGCGTAGGTAGAGATAAAGTAACTGAATTTTAATGCAATGCTGTTCTAAAAAAGCCAAGGTTAGTGGCTGCAAAATTTTGAAAATAAAAGCTCAATCATATGTCTGCTTCCTATGTACAGAATACATAAAATAATTCTTCAACTGTCTCACCAAAAAAGATATTTTTTAATTGATTCCCATTTTAATAGCTTTATTTTATATTCTGATTGTAAAAGTAATCAATTTCCTTTTCAACTTATTTGAAGACACAGCAAAAATATGAAGGGAATAAAGATCAAATATAATCTCTTCTCCAGAATTTCGGGCATGGACACACACGCAGACATACATACACATTTTCATGCTGACAAATAGATAACCTCATTTTTAACAACCACATACTCTTCTACAATATGAAAACACTATAATCCCTTATTTATAGACTGTCAGGTAACTCTTAGTTTCTTACAACTATAAATAGTACTGACATCATCATCCTTTATATAAATAGCTTTGTACACTTTCTAATTATTGCTTTAAAATAACGTTCTATAAGGTAATACCGTATCAAGGATATGTCCTTTCATACAAGGTTTTTGGTTCACGTTGTCAGAAATATTCTCCAAAAAGTTTGGCCCAATTGAAGCTGCACATTTTTTTCTATTAGGTTTTTCTATTTATATCAATTTGTAAGATTTATTTATATAATAATGCTATAAGCTCTCTGTCATGTATTGCGTATGTTTTTCCCAGTTTATCATTTACTTTTACTCTTAGGATTGACTATATATATATATGAAAGTTTTAGAACATAAATTTTTCCTCTTTAGTTTTTACCTTTAGAAAGATTTTCCCCAATATTAACTCCAAAACGTTTGTTTCCTTCTAGTACTTTCATGACTGCATTTATCGTGTGTGTGTGTGTGTGTGTGTGTGTGTGTGTGTGTGTGTGTGTGTTTTAGAGAGAGAGAAGAGAGGGAAAGAGCAGTTGCAAGTGGTGGGGGAGGGGCAGAGGGAGAGAGAGAATCTTAAGCAGGCTCTATGCCCAGCACAGAGCCTGACGTGAGGATCGATCTCACGACCCTGAGATCATGACCTGAGCGGAAATCAAGAGTCAGTCACTTAACAGACTGAGCCACCCAGGCACCCCTATCACATTTTTACCTTTAATCCATCTTATATAGGATATGAATTTATGGACCAAAGAAAGTTTACTTGTTACTTGTGATGAAGAGATTATGCCATATATCTCTACTCGCTTCTTCCACAAATCCCTATCACCCAGGATCAAATAAGCAAAATTACCCAAGTAGAGATGAGGAAAACTGAATTTCATTCTTCTACATGTATAATTTTACAATAATGTAATTTTTGTAGAATTTTACAATAATGTAACTATAATGAGAGAAAGGACGGTATAATTACTGGTTCCGTAGCACTAGAAACCACTATACACCTACACACTTTGGAAATACACTCTGTACACTATACCGCTATCTGCTTAGAAAATAACAAAGCCATTGTCAGGTTTTATGAGAATTTCCCAATACCCCATGTGCACTCTCTATTCTGGGATTAACGACCAATGAATATCTCAACTAAATATTGCAGCCACTTCCCTGTGTCTTTCATAAAGCAAAAGCTTCAACTGACAAGACATTTGGTATTACAATACGAATCAAAATTTATAATCAAAGGTTTTGATCTTCAGAGATTCTAGGGACAAAGTTATCACATGAGCTTAGCCTACACTTAAAAACACACTGGTCAATGACATGGGGCAATGATGTAGGCCAAGGCCTGAGTCCTGCCACAGGCTTTCATGATTCTAACTGTGTCACAGCTACATGCTTCTCATCACTTAGAGATTAAAGCTGAATATATTAAGATCATTGAAACTATCCCTAAATAAAATATGACGTAACTAATTCAATGTTAGCTAGGCTGTTTAGAAAGCAAAACAAATGAAATCTATCACCTGTTGAGAAACAATTGTTGTAATTTTCCTTGACATTACAGGTATAATGCCAAATATTTCAGAGCTATAAATTTTGTTCATGTTCCTAACCCTACAATAAATGACTAACTTTTTAAAGGATAAAGCTACTTTTTAAATCATAGAATTTTACAAGTAAAAAGTTCATGATAGAAAGATATTTTTGTCACACCTTTGTAAGCAAGGGAGAAAGTAGCTGGAGATAAGGCTGGACAGGAAAACAAGGGGCAGATTATCCAGGGGATATCAGGTAGGAAGTGAGAATACAGTATTAATTCTTAGTGAAATCCTTGATTGGTTGAAGCAGGAGTGCAGGTGAGAATGGCAATCACAATAGAAAATGTTTACATAATTAAAATAAATATAAGGTGGCAGCAAGGATTAACTATGCCTACAAAATAAAACTGTCTGCCATCTAAGTGCTTCCTATATACTGGGCAAGAAGTCTTTACAAGATACACACTGATATCCCCATTTTATGGATGAGCAAACCGAGTCACAGAAAGATTATGCCACTCAATGTTCCAAAGATAGTGAGTGGCAAAGTAGGACTGAAAACCTGGTTGTTCTGATTCTAATTACTGTGCCTTTCTTTCTAAACTACTATGCTGGGGTGCTTGGGTGGTTCAGTCGTTAAGTGTCTGCCTTCGGCTCAGGTCATGATCCCAGGATCCTGGGATCGAGCCCCACATCAGGCTCCCTGCTCGGCGGGAAGCCTGCTTCTCCCTCTCCCACTCCCCCTGCTTGTGTTCCTTCTCTCGCTGTGTCTCTCTCTGTCAAATAAATAAATAAAATCTTTAAAAAAAATTAAAAAAAACAAACTACAATGCTATATGACTATAAAATATGGGAAAATTCTAGCAACAAGTATGTTTGTCTACATAATGTCTACATTAAAAAATGACAGGTGGTTTGAATATGCTTCCTTTTCAGCTAAATAACTACATCACATAGATGAAGGCATGAATAGACAGAAATCCTTCTAGAACTAGTATGCTTGCAAATATCCTTAGTTGAGGCTAACAAGATAAAATAAGGCCAAAAATTATACATTCTTCCTTATTGAAACTTCACTGCCATTCCTGCAAATCTCCAATTGGTATTATAATGATGTGCCTTATTTTATTCTTTAGTGCATTCCAAGTACCATTTACTTAAAAGTGTTATTTTTACTGTTCCATAAAATTTAGATTTATTTTTAAAACAGGTCAATCACATAAGAAAAAATGTGATTCCAGCCAGTGACGAGGCCCACAGATACCCAATAGTAACCTAAACATATAAATATGCCACCTTGTCTTGGGAACTCAGTCCCCAAATCCAGTGGTAACTTATTTTCCTGGGATAGTTAGTCTGGCTCATCTCAGGGTGGAGTGCAATTGGCTTCCTTACCTGCTAGAAGTAATATAAGGCACACAGCAAAAAAGTCAGGATACTCTGCAAGGCCGGTATAATTCATTTTGAAGTATGTCCTGAAAAACTGGCCAATCTGTTTGCTAAGAAGTTCATCAAAGGTGCCACTCCATGCTCTTGCAACACTTGATGTACCTTCCCAAAACACAGAGCATTCAGAGAATATACAAGTCACTGGGAGAAGATGAACATAACACCCTTTGCTATTCTGTTCCAGGATGAACAAGGTTTAGCTCAGACAGAATTGAAAATTTGAATCACATATAAAATTATCTTGATAATTTTCCAATTCTACATTAGTAACCAATCACGTCCATAAGTGAGGAATCAGCTAATTTTATGTGCATTAAAGAACTATGGTTTTTGTTTTTTTTTAGAAGCAGGTTTCCAAACTCACTCAGAAGCATATTCAGAGATGAAGCAGAATCACTGCATTTTGCAATTAGGAGACACTTTAGAGATGAGATAAATGGGACACACAGGGATTGAGTAATTCACTCATGATCACACCATCACTAACTAATGCAGACCTACAAGGATCTCTGCCTCAGGAGCACGCTAGCTCCACCATTCCACACAGATTGATTTTTTTTTTGCAACATACCTATCACGTAAGATAAAATGAGATTCCAGCCGGTGATGAATGCCCACAGCTCTCCAACAGTGACATAAGTGTACAAATACGCAGACCCAGTCTTGGGAACTCGGGCCCCAAATTCAGCATAGCAAAGGCCTGCCATCACGGAAGCAAGGGCAGCAATGAGGAAGGACACCACGATACTGGGACCAGAATCTGCTTTGGCCACCTCTCCAGCAAGGACATAGACCCCAGCACCAAGAGTGCTTCCAACCCCCAAAGCAATGAGGTCCATGGTGGATAAGCAGCGGCATAATTTGGAATCTTCTAGACTATCCAGAGTGACGATTTTTCTCCGGATCAGACATCGGGCAAAAGAGAGTGCAGCTCTGCAGGGAATCATTCTGGAGAGAGTAGCCTGGGGAAGAGAAGGGTGGAGGTTAGAAGCACTTCGGGAATCATCATCCCTCCAAGGATTGACCCAGCTTCTCAGCAAAGGTACGGCACCGGCACCATTCTGTTTTTGTTCTACTTGTTCCTAGAAAGGGAGCCTAGAGCAATCCGAGAGAGGGTGGAAAAAGTCAAAGCTGTGAATTTCTTAGAGTTCACTAATCATACATGGCCTTTTAAAAGGGACTGCAAAGAATGGCTTATTTGGGGAACAAAGGAGTGGAAGCTTTGGGTGATTCAAAAGATTTGCCATTGTGGTTCATTTGTGCTGCTACAATTTTTAAACACTGGCTGATAGAAATCTCTTCCAGGACACGGCTCATTTGTCCTCGCCACAAACAAGGGGATGAATTACCTCATTTTTTCGTCAATCATTCATCTGACTCCTATTTTTTACGCCTTATTACGTGCCAGGGATTGTGCTAAGAAATATGTCTAGAATGGTGTGCTGCGTGTTTACGGTCTCCAGCTTAAGGGGCTTGCAGTCTAGCTATTGTCTACTAGCAGGTAAAAGACGCCATCATTATGTTGTTTTCATTTCAGTCTCTTTCATTTTAATGTGAAACCATGTGAACATTTTAGAATAAAAAAAAATTCCCCCCAAAACATACTTGGATTTTTCTAAATAAAACTGCTAGTCGGCGATGCTTTGGGTATGAATTTGTGGTAAAACACACATGCTTATTTACATTTACTTGAGATTTCTAAATAGATAAATAAGCCCCAAGTCCATGCAAAATATGATGTGTTCTTTTTTAAATGCAATGAGTAAGATAGAAAGACATTCTCCCCATACCCTACAGGCCCAAACAACCTAACACTGAAAAAAATTATCAGGTTATAAAACAAAGCATGGATCCTAGTAAGGAAAAAAATATATACATGTATTATAGTAAAAAGTCTGAATTAAAAATGCCGAAATATTAACCATGATGGGGATCTTTGGGTAGGGAGCTAATTTTTACTTCTATGTATTTCATAGAATATGTATTGTATTGCTAATATATATTTCTAAATTATCTCTAGTAAACATGTACACCTTACATGCAAAAGACCTATAAAAATTAAAAAAACCCAACATGGCCCTGTCTATAGAAATGTATAACTCAGGAGACAGGGAAATAACTGAAGAATAGGGAATATAATAGTATATGCAGCTTATCAGTCAATAAAATTAAATGTATTTAACTTTCAGAAGTTCAGAGTCATGTTTGCCACTTCTGTTGCACAATGATGTACAGAGATGTTACAGTCATTATCAATAACCTGACCTCAGGAGGTCACAGTTTTGCATCTTCTCTGAAGAACTTAGAGCTTTTTATCCTATAAAATAAACCCCTGAATATTTCTCATCCTTCCTATCTATAAAAGACAACCATCATTAAAATTATTGTATTTGAAAAATAGTAAATAAGACGAATTTTCTATGTTAAGTCTAAATGACTTGATGCTGATACGAGACACAGACATTTCTGGACTAGGAATAATCCAGTTTCACACTAAACCTCGTAGAGAAAGCTAGCTCCCTGAACATGATTCACATATCAATGTAAATGCAAGTCCTTGACTTCAAAAGCAGCTAGTTCAAAGAATGTAGAGAAAAATCCCACAGATATAGGAAAATAAGTGAAAGGTTCCTTGACGGTACAAATAAAAGTTTTGCACATCGGTGTCGTCCACACCACCCGACAGAGTGCCGAGCCAGGCACTTCACAAATACTTGCTGAAAAATTTGCAAATACACATGACATCTCCAATTTTGCCAATATTCTAGCTTCCAAAGTCAAAACCTAATACTTCTCTAAATCAAATGTGTGTCAATTTCTACCCCTACCTAGCCCTTAAAGAGCTGTATCTCAGATAACACAACTAGAAGGGAGAAAGTGATCTGCTTGAGGATGAATCAGGAAGTGAAAAGGTGAAGTTATAGAAAGACCAGAAGAGATGGGGACAGGGGAAGTGAAGGTGTTTACTAAATTCTGACCTTCCGGAACATTCAAGTGTTTTTACACAGAGGTGTGCAGAGATGAGGTAAGGAACCCTGCCAACTGAAAAGTGCTCAGAAATGAAGAACCACTAAATTTTAGTAATGATTTAGGATCACGTGAGAATGGGGACATGTCATCTACAACTTTAGGAAACAAGTGATAGGCAAAATGAGGCATCCCTGTTTGTCACTTAACTAAATGAAACACTCTTTTTTTTTTTAAAGATTTTATTTATTTGAGAGAGAGAGAGAGAGAGAGCACATGAGAAGGGGGAGGGTCAGAGGGAGAAGCAGAGTCCCTGCTGAGCAGGGAGCCCGATGTGGGACTCGATCCCGGGATTCCAGGATCATGACCTGAGCTGAAGGCAGTAGTTTAACCAACTGAGCCACCCAGGCGCCCTAAATGAAACACTCTTGATAAAGTACTTGATCAACCCCAGATTTTACGAATAAAAGATGCCAATTCTGCAGCTACTACATACTGAAGGGGAAAGAATCTGGAGGGAAGCAAGGAAAACTAAGAAGAAAGGTGAGTGGCAGCATTGTGGGGGAGCTTTTATTTATTTATTTTTTTAATTCTTTTTTTCTGGTAATATGGCCACAATATTGTTTGTGAAATTTCCAAAAAACAAAACAAAACAAAACAAAATGCACACAAAATCCGCCATAAAAATGAAAGGGAATAAGCCAGCCAACCAATACTACATACCTCTTTGAAATGTGAAAAATAGTGAAAATTTTATGAACAATTACCCAAAATCGATACATGAGTGACCTTCATCTTGTCAACAGAAAAATGAATTTGCTTCCTGTTTACATAGGAAGCAGAATGGTTTACAGAAATGTATAGCTTTAATCAGATGAGATCTGGTAGCTACTGCCTCTTTTGTATTAAAAATGGAAAGTATTCTATGTTCAGTTTTTCTCCATTGCCCTGAGGAAATACAACAAAGCTGCCATTTGTCAGGCATTCATTTGCTTTGAGTAACAGAAATGCATACGTCAGAAACTCTTCTCAGAACGAACAGGTTACACAATGTCCTTTGCAAACAGCCTCAACTACACACACCTATCTGATAAAATACTGATTGCAAAAGCTATGACACAAAACCAATTTTGCAGAAATATAATGGGATGAGAGAAAAGCAACGTAAAAACAACCTGGGTCCACTTAATGAATCATTATTAAAGAAACATATATTAAATCCTGGCAGGTATATCACGCAGCGTTTAGTCAATAAAGAAAAAAGAACCCTGTGCTTTTGTAAAATACGTTTTTGTGGAGACAGACTGATTTAGGAAGGTAGAATGGGCAACAAGGGAATGAGGGAACAAAAGATATTTGTGCTTACTATCAGTGATAGAATTTGATATTTACAAATATTTATAACTTTTCCTTTAAAATGTTTTAAAAAGATAGGCTCCTTATGGGAGATGGTTATGATAACTTTATCACACTTCTCCATGTTATTTTCATTGCTGACAAAAAAAATCCACTCATACATATCCTTTGACTCAGGTCTGTATCCACTGTCTTTGCCTGGGCTTTGGTGGGTTGTCTCATCAACAAATAATGATGCAGGGAGAATATGCAGGAATTTTGAAGGTAATTCCGTTGGTCTGGAGGGCACAGTTTTTCCAAGAGCAGACAATGATCCGCACCATCATATCCACTGTGAGCTCTTGCTATTGTGACCAAGGATTATTATTTCCTACAGAAATATATAGTAAAGGACAATCATCTAAGCTTTTGGAAAAGACTTTTGAAAGAAAGCTTTTTAAAGTTAAAATGCTATTAACCAAGGGAGGGTTAGGAGAGATCTTCGATATACCTTCTAGCAGAAAAATCTCTGAATGAATTTAATGAACTCGATGATACAGTTAGGTCTTCCTCAGCCCCTCCCTCGCCCCTAACCCTAAGTATAATTGTTTCAAGACACCTACCTCCCTGATGGAGCCCTGTTAATTCTTGCCAGAAAGCTAAATTACTTCCTCAGCAATTTGAAATCACCTCCTTCTCAAACTTCTCCAACCCAGGCTACAAACTTGACAGTAGAGAATTTTAGGTCAAGTAAATTCCTAGCTCTGAGAATATGACGATGCCCAAGAGCAGACTTCCCTTCAACTAACCACAGAAGTCTTTTAGAATCTGCTAAATACAGTTAAAAGTCAATCCTGGATTTTCACTCGTGTTCAAACGTTTGATGTAGTATTTAGTCTCATAGACATGAATCTTTCCTCTCCTCCCCTAAGTAAAGTGAAATCTCACACTTAATCCTCTGTATCAGTATCACAGGCCCTGACAATAAATCTTACAGGAAAAAACAGCTGCAGCAAGACAGTGGGGTGGGCTTTCCAACAAACCCTCAACAAATTAGCTGCTCAGAAACCTAACCAATTTTTCTTGCCTCATTTGAGTTGCTAGTTTCATGATGAGACAATCTGCACTTTCAGTCTCTGGACTGACAGGGGGAAAGGAATTAAATCTTATAAAGAACTGGGATCTCTGCCCCCTTGTGATTTTCTCTCTTCTGAACTAGAGCTTTGGGGTTTGCAATCTCCGAGCTCAGTATCAATTATATTTCTACAAGTTTAAAGCTCAAAAATGTATTTTCAAATTATATTGTAGGTGAAATTATTTAGTGAAAAGAAAAAGAGGAATACGGACATAATACCGTGAAATTATTGACTTTCATTCTTTTTATGGATGTTTAAGAGATTAATTTCTCAAAAAATATATTGAAAATATAATGCAGGATAAGAGATCATCGAAAATGGTTAACTGTTCACTTTGGTTAATAAAAACAAAAACAAACAACAACAAACCTTTGCATTCAAACATAAAACCTTTCTTTTTTTGAGAAACAAAAGTACTTTTTCATATACATTTCACTCATATTTGGTCCAAAGCTTATCTTTTCTCCAAATCAAATTTTCTGAACAATATCTTCTTCCAGAATTTTCTCCAGATAGGTGAACAC